GGTGTGTGCCTCCAATATGATGACAGTTGGTCTTTCTCCCATTTGTTGAGTTCTTCCATGATGTGGCTTTTCATTAAGCCACAGTAGGGCTCTGGTCCATGGTATGGTGTTGAGGCCCCTTCCTTTGCGAGGCCATCTGCCTCTTCGTTTCCTTCTATGCCTCGATGACCAGGCAGCCACATCAGCGTTACCTGGTTATGTGTCGCTAGCGTTTTTAGGGTCTGTTTACACTCCCAGACTAGTTTTGACGTGCATTTGAAAGCCCTCAAGGCTTTTAAGGCAGCTTGGCTGTCCGATAGTATGAAGATGTGTTTTCTTTTGAGGCTTTGGTTAAGACACTCTTGTGCACATATATCTATGGCAAGCAGTTCGGCTTGAAATATTGTAAGATGTTTACCCAATGCCTTGGAGAGCTTGAAGTTAGGGCCGGAAATGCCCACTCCAGCTCCTACAATTAGCTTGGATCCATCTGTGTACCACAGAGATGCATTGTCTGCTCGTGGTAGTTCTTTATTCTCCCATGATTGGCGGTCGTTTATTACCACTGCGAAGGGGATCTCTAAGTCCAATCTGACCATCATGTGGTCACTTGGTTTGCTGGCATTCTCCAGTGTTATTAGGTCAACGATTTTCAGATGTCCTCTCAGATCGCCAGGCTTGAACTTGTCTATTTGGAATAGCCTGTGAGCGCTGGTTATTGCCTCCTTTTTCACACATAGGTGAAGTGGAGGCATGTTGAGTAGCGTCTCTAGGGCTGCGGTGGGGCAAGTTGACATTGCTCCCGTTATTCCTAGACATATCAGCCTTTGCACCTTTCTTAGCTTAATCTGAGCGGTGACTTGTTGGGTTTTGGGCCACCACACCAATGAGGCGTATGTGACCATGGGCTTTATTATGGTTTGGTAGATCCAGAATACCATCTTTGGCTTTAGCCCCCATGTTTTGCCAACAAGTCTTCGGCATGACCAAATGGCTGATGTAGCTCGAGAGCATGTTTTCTCTAACTGTTTGTTCCAAGTGAGGGTTTGGTCCAGGGTGACCCCTAAGTACTTCACTTCGTTGGAAAATGTTAGTTGTGTACCGTTAAGGGTCGGGGCTTTCAAATTTAGCTTCCTTCTTCTTGTGAACGGGACGAGGATTGTTTTGTTTGCGTTTAGGGATAGTCCTTCGCCTTCGCTCCAATTTTTAACGATGTTTAGGGCACTTTGCATTCGGCTTGTCACTATACCTTCATGTTTGCCCTTGATTACAATGGCTAGGTCATCTGCGTAACCTATGACCTGGCACTACTCAGTCTGGTAAGAATTTTGTCTACCACCAGTGTCCATAGTAGCGGAGAAAGAACACCCCCTTGAGGACACCCTCTGACCGTGGTAGCGGTAGCTGATGCTCCGTTTATTTCAGCCGTAACGTGACGGTGCTTCAGCATCGACTCTATCCATTTTACAATTGGAACTTCAACATTCCATTCTTGTAATGCTCTGGCGATTGATTGAAGTGAGGTGTTGTCAAAGGCACCCTCTATGTCGATGAAAGCTGTGAGAGCGATCTCTTTGCACTCGATTGTCTTTTCAATGTCTTTAACCAGGCAGTGTAAAGCACTTATTGTGGATTTGCCTGGCTGATAGGCAAATTGCCTCGAGTAGACCGGTCTTCTCAATAGAGTTTCGCTTCTGATGTACTGGTCGATTGCTTTCTCCATTGTCTTAGTGGAACCCTAACTGAAGATGTCTCTGATTCAGATGAACATCCTTAGTGAAATCAAAGAATTTTAGATTCATATTATGCAGTGTAGACACGCAATGGTATCTAGAGTTCTACAACTATTTATACCTACAACAAAATCGGTGTCGGTGTGAAAAACCATGAGAATAAAAGTTGCTAACTTTTGGAAAAGTTGCGAATACAGAAGTTGACAAATTTTCAGTGGAAACGTGTTCTCATAAGAGAATAGACTATTTATTTTGATCATATCAGTACGAAGCTTAACAATTAGACATAGTTTTCGTAATAAAATCAGCTGGAAATCGAGTGATTGTAGGAAATCATCGAGGAAATCAGGTAATCAATTGGGAATGATATAGGAATCCCTAGAAAAAATGGAAATCACCTGATAATCATACAAAAATATCTGAAAATCATTGGCAATCAGTCGCAATTCTTGTGGTGGGAATGCATGGGATTTATTGACCAGTGATTGCCAAATATGGAAATCGTTGTACATTTGTAAGCATAGTGGTTGACCCCTCGTTTATTTCCTTATAAATCATGCATCTTATTGAATATAAATAATTTTTGTGCATTAGGCTTGTTGAAAAATCATGATAGTGTAGTCGTTCCAACCGATATACATCACTTCATTGAACACGACTGCATCCCCACTAAAACCTAGATAACGATCAAAAACAGTTTCCACAAAATACCTACAGAACAAACAAATTCCTCGGAGATAAAACGAATGATTAATTTTATTATTACCTTTGTCAGGCTTCGGCCTCGTGACACAAAAACTCTGTTTTTAAAAATTCAATGACAAATTATTACCGGGGGCCCTCCAGCTTCAGATTGTGCGACTCTTTGTCTTATAAATAAAAAAAAAAATGGATTTTACTGTTCAGAGACAGAGGGGACCGTAATTTATTATTTCAGTTTCGCTTTCCCTAAGGGGATTTCAACGGTGGACGCCGGAGATTTTTGTTTGGCGAAAGTTATATTCGTTTAATAATTTTGGATGTGACTGCTAGAAAAACATCTTGGAATTTGAAAATGGACTAAAGGTGATCTAAATTTCATTAGTAAATTGAGGAAGTAGTTACTCGAGGGAGTAGCCACTGTGGAAATCTTTTATTCTACGGGATGGATATATGGTGGAGATATATGAAGATCCGGTAGAAATACGTGGAAATCCAAGAACTTCTGCTGTAGTCATCTAGAATCGGAAAAGCGTATTAATGTATATGCAGATCCGAAGGAGATACACAGAACTCCACATGATCTCTATGGAGTTACAAGAAGATCTCCACAAATAAAGGTTTTCTATCCTGAAAAATCTCAAGTGACCATCTTCTCGGAGGTAATATTGGAAAGAAAAATCTTTCAGGAACCTAAATAATAAAAAATTAAAACTCTCTAACGTTTCAAATTTAAGTTTATTTTCGGTGATCATACTTACAAGTATAAAGTGCATTATAATATCTATCTAAATCACTATAGTTGATTATCATTTTTGTATTGGCCTATTTACAAAATACACTCTATTTTCACCTACAAATGGCAGTTGAATTGTTTTTTTTTTTTTTTTAATTTCGCGGTATGTCTGTCGCTATTAATCCAAATATAATACTTTTGGCAGTCTTATATAAAAAAAAAACAAATTATTTATACAATTATTAAAAAGAGCAATTTATATACAAATATATGCAACGATTAATTTAAAATGTCGTTCGTCTACCCTGTACAACTTTTCTAAAAACCTTCTATATCTACAATAATACACACACAATCAGAAGAATATAAATTAATACTGGATTTTGGCAGTTATTGTGAGCAAAATAACCTGTCAAGGAACAATAATTCTATGAAAAATTTCAAGTTTTATAACAAAAATAATTGTGCTATATAATAGGTATAATATGGCAATTCCTACAAAATCTCAAGAGACAATATAACACTTTTGTCGTATAACAATAAATATACTACAAAGACATGAGAAAAAGAGTCTATATTTTTATAAATCAACCTTTTGATTCGTGAAGCACTACCCGTTTTATTTATAACAATTTGAGCCGCACATTTTTTTCATTTGGCCGCTAAGATTGTCTAACTTATTCATTTAAATCACTATTTATAGTTTAGGCCTTGGTACTACCGTCTCACGTCTAATGAAGTCGGATGTTACGAAATAGGAACTGTAGGTACCATCTATTGAATAATAATTTGTGAGTGTAGCTTGATTTTTAAATAACTTGTGACAAGTATATTGAAATAGCATTGGGAGATTATTTATAAAAAATATGTAATTTTATGCTATAAATTTCAAAAGAAAATTATTTAGTTAATCTAGCAAGTAGCAACACACTGAAAATTACTCTACACCGCACCAAAAACCATTAAATTCTAATGCTAATATCGCCGAGTGCAAAATAATTGAACTATGTAAAATGCCAGCAGGTTTAAAATAAATTCTAGCGCAAATAAATTCCTGGTAATTTATAATGTGTAATATGGAAAATTTAAAAATCACTCGCGGTTATAAAACACAACAAAATTACAAACGCAAATTGCGTTTATTCGATAATGGAAAGGATCGTAAATATTGTTCGAAAATAAATTTCCATTATTTAATTCCAACATTGCATCGATAACTGTGAAATATATTATTATGAAAGAAAAATGTCTGTCGTAACCATCACAATTGTGAACAAAAATTGAATAAAAGCTTGGGTTTCCTTTAATGAAAATTACTAAATATGTGAGGCGAGCCCCATCAATGATTTATTTAGTATAATATAAACCAACAAAATTGCTACGCCAAACCGCATCGGAAATTAAATTTTTGGTTTGCATTATTCGACTCTCTGCTGAATTGCTATTAAATTACGTTAGTATTTTTGGTCGAGTAAACTGAGAAGGCGCAAAACTGATTAAAATACTCGGTGTCGGTATCAAGAGAAACCAAATAACTACCTTTAAATTTGGAATTTATTGTATCTAACAATCTATTACTTTTATGAAACAGTGAAACCGAATTACAAGGCAATTTAGTTTCGAAAGCATCGTCTCATATAAAAACGTAGTAAAGAGGAAAAAATATGTACATAAATTTAGTCTAAATGGTAACCCGAACTCCGTTTCAAACGTGAGACGGCCGAGAGGCGCATTTGTAAATCACTGAAAGGCACCGACAGATAATAAGTGAGCTGGGGGACGGACGAACCACGAAATTCTCATACGGTCGTTTCACGGTCCATATGTATAAATTCTACCGGGGGCCCTTTGTGTCAAGAGTTGATGCCGGGATCGAGCAGGCCGGGGCCCATGTCCAACTTCTTTTTGGCCAATTTCCGGCGTCTTCGCGCCCTCAACCGGTGCACCGTGAGGCATATTAATAGAAACATCGAGGCGAACACGGCAAATCCCGCAGCCAAAGCGGCTAGAGGTAAAGAATTTAAAAGTTTTGAAGTTGCGCCGCATTGGGCTTCCGCTTCGTCGTAGCCCGAAGGACAATTGTCTTTGCCGTCACACCACAATAATGGACTGATGCAAGCGTCAAGTTCCGGACACTTGTGAGAACATTCCAATTCTGTATCGTTTGCACTCGTGTTGACTGGAACTTGCAGCTGGGTTAACAATGAGTGTCTTGATCTTGAAATTTCTAGCCAATTGAATGCTGCCATTGCAGGCTCTAAACCGATCCATTCTACTACGAATTGAGGCGGACGTTGCACTAAGTGAGTCAAGCCTTCTCCTCTCCACTCTTCACTGAAAACGTGTACAGCTAAAGGCCTTGAGCCAGGTTCGGCAGGGCAAATAGCTCTGACCAACTTAGGAGGTTTGCCTGAGTAAACTAGAATTCTATTGGTTGTGGGGCAACGGGTAGGCTCATCAGGCCGCGGTTTCAACGACAAAAAAGCCCCCCAACTAAGCAAAAACAGGCTCTTGTTATGCCTGGCTTCCACCAACCAAGGCAAACCTAAACAAAGAGTTTCTGTTTTATCGGCAGGTGGAAAGGCAAATTGCACTTCACCTCCATCTCCACGCAATCGCTGATATCTAGGACAATCACTTATCTTAACTAATTCAAACAAGGCATGAAAATGTAATACTGTATAGTCTTCAGTTATTTTCATGTCTTTTGCCTTAAAATGAAGCTCTAATGTTTTTGACGAAGATCTAAAAACTAACGGCTTACTAGTTAAGGTTGAATTGTCACAAACACAGCCTTTAGGCATATGAGTATCGGGCCAAGGAACTTCATATATACTAAACTCAGCTACATTTCCGCCAGCGTAATATTCGCAAGTGTGTCTACCACTATGTAAATCGGTTGTAGTTTCACAAGACGGATTCACTCCAAAGGAGGCATTATTAATAGTCAATTGCACTCGTTCATTATTGCCAGCCTCGAAACGATAAATACAATGAATATCTTTGGTGCCTCCTCGGCCAAACAAAAAAACGTTTCTAGGTCCAGTAATTTCCCCAACGTGGTGTCTTTTGAATACTCTATGGCAAGGGCCTGAGTTTCTCTTATCAGGCCACGCTTCACCACCCAAACGAGTATCAACAAATTCGTATTTGATTTTAAACGAGGCCGGATGTAGAGCTGTTCCATCTTCAGTGTGGTGTTGCACTATTAAATTATTATTAGCAGAAATATAGCTTTCGTCATTGGTGCAAGGCCTCGTAGCCCGAGTCGAGTTACTTAACGCACTATGATCACAAAGCAATGGAGGTTCGTCACATTTATCTTCAATTAAAGTCCTATTGTCCCATATACGTAACCGTGTCAAGCAACCGCCGCCAAACGAACTATTGCCTAATAAAGCGTGTCCGCTTTCGCCAATTAATAGCGGCCTTTGATTGTACGAAGTGAAACTAACCCAAACAATGTCACCCTCGTAGCCTCTAAATCTATAAGTACAAGTCGTGTTGGGGGGAAGCGAGTGCTTAGGACTGATGAGCCTGCCTTTCCGTCCTCTTCCGGTCCATATTTCGTCGCTTTCCGGACTCGTTGCATTTATATCAAATTCGCACTTGTGCCGATGTCGGGCGAAATCGAGCGAATCCGAATCGGCGAAAATTATGTCCACGTCGAGTTCGAATCCCTTAAGCGGAGATTGACTTGGAGGTGAATGTAACGGGACGCTGTACGGTGACGAATGGAAGGCCACTAGCATTTCCGGTCCTCTAGACACGACTCTAGGCAACCAATCTCCGCCGCAATATTTTGCCAAGACAGGATCGTCAGTGGAACCTCCGTCGTAGAAAATTAAGTGGTCGCGTTCGCCGGTGCAATCGCGCCAAGCTCTCAAAGCTCGAGCGGTTTTGTTTAAGCCCGCTACATTAATGGAACGTTTCATGTGCATTTTATGCGCTGCCTCTTGTCTTACGGCGATCATTGCGTGTTTGCATGTAGGGACGAATTTTTGCTTCAAGCTCCAGTAGCAAGAGACGTTTCTGGGATACATGCCCGGATAGTTGGGCGATTGCAGTCTGCATGGCTTGCGGTAGCATTCTTCGAATTGTCTGGTGCAATAAGTGCCCGGAGCTACTTGACCGCGTTCCAATGGTGAAGATGGCGAGCCGAATCGTACCACTGCTTCTTTACGCGACACGAAGCGGTACCGCAACCGGAAGGCGAACGGTAGCTGAGGTGAAGCGAACAATTTTACACTAACTGTGACTGTTGAAGTTTCGCTGTAGTATGCTGCGGGTCCCGATGAGGATCCGCACCAGGAGCCTCCGGTGAAAGGCCTGCCTAGTTCGCTCAGTTGCATGTAGCCATCAGGACAGCCGTCTAAGGCATTGGATTCGTACCGGCCCAGTTTGAATTCGTCGAAGATGAGCTGAAACAGACATGAGTGTTACTAAAAGTTAGCAGTTTCAGTATAGAAGTAAATTCAATAGAGGGAGTTTCTATGTGTATAAGAAGCGATTTCGTAGGCAGGAAGGAAAATGCAGCGTCAATTATCTTAATAGAAGCGTAAAAGAATTATTTCAACTAGAAGTTTGATAGGGTATCGAGGGTTGTATGTATGTACATATACGGTGTATCGATAAATTAGAGGTACAGATATGAAGATACTTTTACAGGATTTCTTGTACACTTTATATTTAATTTGAAGAAGAATCTAAAAACAATTGATAATAACAAACTATTAAAAACCAATGATTGACGCTATTACAGGAACTGGGCGACGACAAGAAAAGCTTTCAATAAAGCTAAAAACACCAAACTACCTGAGGACTAGAACCTATATAGGTACCAACTCAACCAGTATAAAAAAGTCGTACGACAAAAACAAACTACCCTATGAATAAAAAAGAGCATTTGCCTTTTCTCGCAAAATTTGAAGCAAATGCTTCATCCAGTATGAATAAAAGTTTAAGCAAAACCAAATACTCTTTTTCTTATGAATAAAAGAGATTATTTGCTTCAAATGGGAGCATTTACTCCTTGCAAAATGCATCTGCTTCAGAGCAGATGTATGTTTACTATTTTGGTAAATTTTTCCCGAATATTCTTATTTCCCGTTTTTTTCGTAGATTGTAGATTGCATTAACAGTCGGTATAGCTTGTTTCAGCTGCTCTAGTGTTCAAGATTTGTATGCTGCTTCCAAAGGAGGCAAGCTTCCTGGGTGGTAAAGTATCTACCTCTTGGGGTGTGAGCAAGGTATTTCAGCCTTTTGCAGTAGTGACACAGATTGAGTGTTCTGTAGTTTTTAATGCTTGTTCGCAAGCTCTGCAATAATCGTAAACTGATTTGCCTATTGTTTTTAGGTGATTTTACCAGAAAATGCCCAGTGAGCAGTCGACCAACGACTCTTCTGTCTCTTCTGTTTATATTTTCAAGAATCTGTTCAGATCTCAGATATATGAACCTTCTTCATCTGTTGATTTCTTTGGAGACGTGGCTTTTCATTAGTACACAGAAAGCCACTGAACATTGAAAAGGTGTTAAAGCGCCTTGCTTCGTGAGACAATTCGCCTCCTTATTGCCCTCTTGACTTTATTCCTATCAGTCAGTTGCTCCCAAACTAGCTGAAAATTGCACTTGATTGGGTCCTAGAACCTTTAGAACCGCTTGACTGTCGGACAGTATGTAAATGTGCTGTCTTAAAAGGACTCTTTTAAGACAATCTTCGGCACAGACGCTTATAGCCAGAACCTCAGTTTGAAATTTTGTGGATGTTTTGCCCATTGCTAATGAGGGTTTAAACTTTAAAGTTTGGTCCAGTTATTCCAAGACCAACTCGCCGTTTTTTTACTACCACTTCCTATGGAATGTGGTGGAAGGTTGTAACTCCCGAACATAAGACTTTCTACACATTTTTTCAAAAGGTCCATAAAGCTTACGTTTGTTGCATCTTCGACCAAATGCTGCACAAATACGTGGAGCCAAATATTTTACACTTTTAAATTGCAAACGAGGGTTGTGGCAAATAAAAGCTGCAGAGCAATCTCAAAAATATCTCACATTTTCAACACCATGGGTGCGTTATAGTTGCAATCGTCTACCATTCGGAATCTATTCAGCACCAGAGGTATTTCAAGAAATAATGATATTGATATGATCGTTCTGGTGGTTTAATTTGGCATTCGAGCCTTAGATTCAAGCAACAGGTACAACAGGTAATATCTTTCACTTCATTTCTTTGAAGCATATGCTCGCAAGTGAAAGGTCTTCATTATTCATATGATATAAAGTAAATACGTCCACTTCTACCTTTTACTTGAAGCTTTTGCTTATACTTCTACCTTTTCCTTAGAAGCAAATGCTCTATTTTTATTCATACGGCTGAAAGAGATGCCTGGAGGACACACTACAACGAAATAGAAAACTATACGGAAGCGGCGATACTTCAGAAAGCTCTTAATAAAGACCCATCTCGGGAAATTGGTATGCTGTGCAAGAAGCACTGCCAATCTTCAAGAAAGCACAGAATTACTACTAGCAACCCACTTTCTCAACCCTACAACCACAATTATGGAGGATCAGACGCAGGTAACATACATACATACATACCTGTGGCTGATTGGCAACTCGCAAATCAGATAATATACGAGGAAAAAATTGGTCGAGCAATTTCAGACATAATTATATTCATCCTTACTGCAGTAGGGTCTGAAACCACTCTTGCCGCACCTGGTAGGGATGTTCAGGGCGTCCTTGAGATACATACCCAAGGCATGGAGAGAAGTTGAAGTGGTGCTCTTATCTAAACCAGGGAGGATGGACTACATCACCATCAAGGCATATCGCCCCATACATGCATACACATCCGGGAGATCAACGGACATAGCTCTCCATCTGGTTGCTGGGCTCAACTATAGTATTACATGAACTGGGGAAATTTAAGACTTATAGGATACCCCCTTTGGATTTTCATTTCAAAATCTTCAAACTATATTTGAGGTTCAATTGTTCAAAAAGTACCTATTTAAGCTACCAAACTCAATTTAGCGCAGATATATAGGGAATTTAATTCTCTCTCTTTTTAATAGTGTATCATGTTCCTCCTTCTAATCATCATCAATCAACTATCATTTAGTTATAATTTTGTCTCAAATTTTCAAAAACCATCAAAGCCAATTATTTCGCATACGAAGCCCTAGAGCTCGGTGTTTCTAAGAACCTTTTCTTAAAACTTCAATCGAGATCTACAATTGGACGAAATTTTATACCTACAGTAGATATTGTCAACTAGCTGCTTAGGAAAGGAGGACCCGGTATTCAACCTTATTAATGCCGATTCGGTTGGATGTTTATTGCAATTCAGCAATAAACGGATATAAATTGCGCTGCAAGCTGCAGCAAAGGCAGACTTAAACCAGTGCAACTTCCTCTCGTTGGGAAAGCCCCTCCGGAATAAAGTTTCCCTAGTGCAAGTACCTCTCGTTGGAAAAGCCCCTCTGGGTATCTTCAACCTTATCGTTGTCCAGTGCAATTACCTCTCGTTGGGAAAGCCTCTCTGGACAAGGCATAAGGGTAACTAATCGACAGTCCCCTAAGCAGCGTTGACGTGTGGCTTCCTATAAGGGCCCCAGTGTTCGAAGGGTCATGTATCTTATAGGACTAGCGTACATGTAAGGGCATATTTGGGAAAATATATATCTACACTTTTATATAACTTGAGCGAGTTTCTCTCCACCAAAGCTACAAACCCCCCATGTCACCCCCGTAAAGCGGGCAGTTGTGACTAGAGACTAGTTTTCTCACATCCACCGTCCGGATTATAATAATTTATTTCATATAATATGAACAAAAGTAACGCCGTCAGCGCATTTAGCGCCTGGTAAAGTTAATAAACACTTCGCAACACAATAGTCTTTACGAAACAAATTATCCCACTTTAGAAAGTGCAACCCGCCGAAACTAAATTTGTTGCCAACTAGTTTACAACTCAGAAACCAAAAAAAATTAAACCTTATTTAATGATATAGGTAGTTACTTTTGCATCCATCGAACTTTCGCTATAACAAGCGCATATTTTTTTTTCCTTTTTTCTGCAAAGTTTGTCTTAAAGTCGTAGGGGGGGATCGAATCTAATTCGCTTTGCCCCGTCATAAATAATACCCGTGGAACGTTCGAAGCCGGAGCAACTGAGCGGAAAAAACCAACCCCCGGGGAACTCTGTCAAGCAGAAGCACATACACCGCTAACAGCGAAACTTTGTTATAAATATTAACTCGGTTTAACTTATACTTAACTTAATTGTTCGATGTATGTATGGTGTGTGTGTGTATGCGAGCCTGAGAATTTACAACTTTTTTCTTTAATATTTAATTTGTATTGAAAATATTTTTTGATGTTAGTAGTGTAGGTGTGCGGGTTCTGCACCGAAAACTGCGCTGTGTGAGTGCGCGAAAGACGTGCGACACCTATAATCCTTCGATTGTAATAATTGTCGACCCACGCCATCTATGAACTTATTTGTTTGTAATGTATCACGGTCAGGAGGTCATCTACCAAGAAGCGGAGGTAGATAGCCCCTGACCATTTCCTCCTGCAGAGAGGTCGTCATCATTCTACCGTTCAGCATGATGCTGGTCCAATTACAAATTAGCGCCTCTAGAGTTTGTCATCGCATTGTTATTGTAACAAAACTGCCTAAAAATCCTTTCTTTTTGCTTCGTAATACAATTTATTGTTTTTTTTTTACCCAGCGAGATTAAGTCGCTAAATTTCTGATGTAACCGTGTCAAGAGCCAAGGATTATCAGTCGGTTTTCAAAGGAGTGTGATTACACGACTCTCGACTCCTGGATCCATGAACAAACCGCATGTTTTGCGACCGATAAGAATCCTAAAAGCGTCATCAAGCTGCCAATATAAATAAGTATGTGAGTCTCCTAGATTGATTCAGTTTTGTAACGAAGTTCTGGTGTTTAGTGTTGACGTCTTTCTGCTAACTCTCTTTTCAATTTCAAGTATTTTAATTTATTCGTCATTATTGTTGTTTTCTGTCTATTATTTATTTTCTTTTCTGTGTAAATAACAAAACCGACAACTCAAATCTCTCTTCCAACATGTATATTACCCTGAATAACAAGGCCGTTTTGTCATTCCCTTGTCGAGGACGCCCGTGACTTTTACCCACTAAGAATTATAAATCCTAGTCTTTATTTTCTGTATCTTTTAATCTTTAATTTCTCATGTAACTTGTACCATCAAGGAACGCGCTATACAGTACGCTCATTGCTTTCACTCTCTATCATTCCAAATCTCCGTATTGTAGTATAACATACCCGGGTTCGCTCAGTAAGATTGAAAGATGAGAATTTTTAATACCTTTTAAACAACAAATCTTCTAAAAAATGAAATGAAAAACAAATAGGACCTACGTTGTGGAAACTTACTGAATTTTACTTACTGCATGTCCAGCCCGACATAGCAAATATTTGGGAAATTTAAGGGAAGTTGTGATATGTAAAAGAAACGAAAAATTTGTGAAACGTCTACTTTATAATTAAAGTAAAACGTACTGTTCTCGACCTGGAACTAACGAGGGGAAATAGCACGGCAGAGAAACCCTCGGTCTTACATTCCTCAAAAATCGAAACATACTGTGTCATTTTAAATAATCATCGTGAGTCAATAATTCAATAATTTAAGTCAATAAAAGTTTAAATTAGGTACCATCCTTTGTTCTTGTGCTAAAATTTTCATTACACACACTACATTCAATCAACACTACCTATAATCAAAACTGAAGAGTTTTTGGTTAGTTAGCCGGTCTGCCGGAAGGTATTGAGGTCCCATACGGGATGCTACCCAGCTATACTTAGTTGTTTTTGTGCCAATATCTCTAGATTGATTTTTCTCAATTTGCTAGGATATTCTCTCGTCAGGGTAGGAAAATGTTAGTAAATTCAACAAGGCTCTAATGCACGTTCTGAATACACAAAATCAAAATCTCAGCACAAAAAGACAGTACCTACATAATTTCTTAGGTTCTAATTCACTTCTTTATCTGTGTTGAAACGATTTTGGTTAAATACATAAACAATGCACATGTTATAAAAAATTGTTATAAACAAACAAGAAACATAAAAATTGAAAAAAATAAATAATATTTGCGTAAATTGAACTCCCAAAAATAAAATAATAATTATTTAACTGACCTGGTGATCGCTCCTTGACACACACACTAATAACAAATTGGATTTAACAATTAATCTTAATGCCAAATAGGAATGAAAATTGAATAATGAATAATTACAGACACGCGTTTAAAGGAACCAGTCTGTTCTCCAGTCTAGCGTCTAGTTGCCTATTCTCTTCTGTGTCCCGTTCGCAGTACGGCTAGAACGCGGTCCCCTAAATTTGATGGTGCTCTCTTCTTCTCATAAATCCCACTGAGCAATACATGGTTGCAACATCTAGTTTTATTCAGTAAACATTTTTTTTTTAAATAATATTTTAAATAGGTGGTTTTCCTCAGTATGTATTTTCTTTCATTTCATTTTAATAAACATTGTTAATAACCTACTATTATATTCTTTGCTTTTCTTTCATTTCCTTACCAAGATTTACCATTTGTTCAATAAACCATTGTTAGAGTTTAGTAAGAAAAACTGATTATTTTATTTCCTTTGGAAACCTCCGAGCTAGCATTCCAACTAACTACGTACAGCTCAGGTAGCAAGAACCCGCCTTGGAAAAGGCAATCTAATCAAATTACTAGAAAGTATCCGTTCAAAGTTACCTAGATTTCCACTGAGACTTTAAACAAAGTCCCTACTGGTGGCACGCTATCGCAGTACAAAAAAGGCCTCTACAAAACAAAGTCTCCCTTACCCAAGCGTCGCAACCAGGTAGCGGTGGTAACATTAAAAGCTCTCTCTATGTCCACCAAGTTGCTGAAGCCAATTCTGTGGACTTTTCTGTCTCAATCAATAAATAATTTGTTATTGTAACAATACCTTATTAAATAAATTTTCAGCAATCATCTCAAATGCAATATGGTTATTGCCTAATGCACTGTAACAAGCTCAAGATAAAATCTCTCTCGCAATATTCTCCGGTTTAACGAGACCGCAGATACAGTGGCTGGCCGGAACATTACCTGGATCTCTTCGCTTTTGATAGACGACACCATTATAATTGTCTTGTCGTTTGTCAGGAAGATAATGGTCCACGGATATTGCGGATGCTGCTCTCCTTCGCTAATTTCGTCGAAATCTGCTAGTGTTTTTGTGCTACTCCCGAGAATTCCTCTCTTCTCCAAGCTTGATTAATGACTTACGCCTTATCTTTCTAAATTACTTAATTTTTATATTCAGCCGAAAAATTACCGGCATTTTTCCGAGCTGGAAAATAAATTAATTTAAATTCAACAACACTGTATTTAACGCCCGAAAGCTGAACAATATAACTTGAAAAGTCTACTAAAAGCCCTCTAATGGCACTGTTTATTACGGAAGTCATCCCCGTGGAAACTGTTTAGATTATCATTACGCTTTTGGTGGAAAAAGTTTCCCGTCCAAAGTTCCTTTGAGAGTTGAGTTTGAATATGTAAGGACCTTTGTTGATGATAAATTAATAAATTAAATAAAATCCAATTTATATGTATGTATATGCAAACAAAAACATTGCCTATGGGTTAAAATAATATCTTTTCTGTTGAAGGTTTAATAGCTTTTCTGTGGTAATTATGTTGGTGAAGCTCCTGGGAAAATACCACAACAATATTTATTGTGTACAAAAATATTATTTATTTTTACCTCGAAATTGGATAGGTTCATAATATTCCCCTTGTAATTAGTCTAATCCTATTATAAATGGAGGAAATTTTGAGGGGTTGCTCAGGCTCAGCCCGGTTTTCTTCCTCTATACCTTCTGGAACATAGTTCAAGATCCCTCTATTATCCCTTTTACTAATTTAATTGATAACTAATCCCAACTCTAGTGATTTTACGCATCTTTTGAGAAGGTACTTGATAATTTAATATTAAAGGGCAAAATATGATATTTGTTTAAAAGTCTCAATCAGAAAATTCTTCCACACGAATAAACCGTTATTTGACCAATTCTGAGTAAATATTACGAGGGACAAGAGTCCAACCAAACAAACTCGTAGAAAATATTTCCATATGAATACCGTGGAAATATTTGCGTCGCCGGCAATGGAATTTGCCAAAGTAATAAAAGAAGTTGTAGGATTGGGCCGGACATCGTTTGGTATAATAAAGTTCGTTGATCTGGAATACATTTAAAAAAAAAAATACAATTCAAAATCCTAAGAGAAAGAAACTGAAACTTTAATCTTTTAAAATTCTATTAAGCCAAAACTTAATTTCAAGTTATCCAGCAACAGAAGTTGGACCCATTCTAGTTATATAGTGGAAATCCGGAAAGATGGCAAATTAAATTTGAAAAATGTCTTCTTCAGAAACTTAAAAAGAGATTAACTTTGCACAGTAATCAATCAAAAACTTTATATAAACATCTTGATATAATAACATGTGGTATTAATCAAAACAAGTTTGCTTTAGTTAGGTCAAAAGCCTGTCCATTGTTTCGGAAAGTCTTAAGGATAATGTCGAGCACTTTGTCAGTTTACGGTCCATTTTCGCTAGATGTTAAGAGGCTTTGTGTGGGGTGTTTAAACCCTTATGTAGTGGAAATCCGGAAAAAGGATTTTTGCCGATTTAATCGGAAATTATCAAAAATTTGCCATAAATCAAACGGGAAAGCGCTTACGAGGCAAAAAATAAAAAGGGCCACACGGGGTGTGCGCGCATAAAGAATTATGATTTAGGGATATTGAGTCGTATAAGAGGCTGGAGGAGAAAAAATCCTCTCGAATATGGCCTTTCTTTGACAGTCGTTAGATAAAATAGTGAACTCTATATAAAAACATTATGATTCATAATCCCATCAAATCGATTTATTTCCAACAAAGCGAAAAGGAGGAAATTATGCGGATAATCAAATTCACGTTTAAGATGAAACTTTTTATCGTTCAGGGAAGCATCTTGTTTCGTTGTAATCACAAGCCGACAGCGGTCGTTCTTTATGGTCTCGAATGTCGAGGGGTCCGACGACATCAGATTTTAACTTCGTGAAGTGACCCTTGAAGAAAATGGACCGTAAACTGAGAAAAGTGGTCGATATTCTCGTTGTCAAGTCTACACGCCTGACTTTTCAGTGGAATTTTTTCAAATAAGCTTGACGGAATTTAGTCGAAGTGATTGTATTGTCACGGTTTGGGGTAGCATAGCTCACAAATTTACTTAAAGATGGCAGATTCGAAGTTTCATCCCTGATCTGAATGCAATTCTAGTGGCACTCCATGACGACTGAAAATTTCGTCCACTAGCACCTGGGCAATAGTGACGGTTCCTGATTGAAAATAGCGAAAACTTCTGGCCATTTACTGAAGTAATCCATGAAAACCAAGATGTATTTGTTACCACATTCTGACTCAGGATATGGTCCGGCAACATCTATCGCTTTCGTTAAAATGGGAGACCGACGTTGTACTGTTTCATCTAAATATACTAGACAAGTTCTCCATGCAAGATCTTGCAAAACTAGATGCATCAGTCGCGGGAGCATTACACAATCCGAAAGGCATTACGTTAAACTGGTATAACCCGCTTCCGGTACTAAAGGCAGTTTTTTCTTTGTCATCTTTGTGTATTGCCACTTGCCAGTATACTCTTAAGATCCAATGTAGTGAACCATTTGGAGCCCGATAGAGTTGTTAATGTATCGTTTATCCTCGGGAGAGGGAAGCTGTCCTTCTTGGTGGCGTAGTAGTCCACACAAAATCTAAGACTTCCATTTTTCTTCGTAACCAATACTACTGACGCAGACCATGGACTATTTGACTTACCAATCTCTTGAAGCATTTTATCAGTTTAATTTTCTACTTCCTGTTGCTCAGCCACTGGCATATATCGAGGTAGTTGTCTTATTGGGTGTGCCAATTCAGTATCAATTTTGTGTTAAATCAAACTGGTCCGTCCGGTTTGCGGAAATACGAGAGTCCTGGGTTCAAATCCTAGTCGAGGTAAAACATTTTTTCATCAATTTTAATTGATACGTCAGTATGCCACTAAAATTAAACACACTGTAAACTTCAAAGTTATTTTAGAACAATTTCAAAGGTCTAAATTGAATCCTAATTTAGAACTGAAGCTGTGAAGCAAATACTGCCTCAGTGTCATTTTTGGAAAATTTTCAATGTTCAATAATTTCAATTTTGAAGCTTCTCAGGTGTAAAACAATCGAGACCAAATCAAAATCTTGAAAAATAGGTTCGTAGAGAATTTAATTGCCTTCAATCAGAGCCTATTGCGTTCAAATCCGGATGAAAATTAAAGGAACTGTGAGGCAAATACTGTCTCAGTTTCATTTTTAGGGAAAATTTTCAATAAGGTACCTGTCCCAAATAAGGCCACGTTAAGATGTTTTCACTTTTCCTAACATTATCCACCAAACCCAACAAAAATTAAGAGCTTATATGTAAAGTGTTTCGTTTCTATTACTTGAATATTAACTCCATTTTTTTTTTAATATAAGTGGTGGTTTTTGTGTAAAACAAAGACTCTTACCATTGGATCACTATGCTCCTAATAAGGCCACCATTGAAAAAGTTAAAAATAAATACAATTTTTTATAAAAATATTATTATTTGAGAAATAGTACATAAAATAGAACTTATATGTTTGCTGCATTCCTAAAAAAAACAATAATTCCAAGTCCTGGGATGGAGATCCAAATGGGTCTACATACAACTAGGACAAATGAACCGCAGCATTTCTTGCTTGGTTAGGATCCAGGCATTTCAAAAAACATCACTTAGGTAATAATATGGCACATTCTTTTAAAAAAACACTGTGATGTGAGGCCAATTGAACATTTTTCGTATGATGGCCTTATTTAGGAACATGTTAAATTGATAAAAAAAAGTCTGTAACTAGAAATCTAGCAAAGATATTATTTTGTACTTACTCTGTAGCTTTTTCAATACATAAATGTCCGTTAAAAAATTAAATTCTCTTCATTTAATTTATAAACATGTGTATAAACTAATTAACTTCCAGCCTCAAAGTTATAACGTGACATATGAAATATGTGGTTGGCCATTTTTCGACATATAACGAGTTGCTAGGAACCCTCGTATTAATTTTTGATTTGCATTATAGATTTCTTTTTTAATAATATTATAATTTTTGAGGATGGGACTTAATATTAAGCAATAAAGAGCACTTGCCTTATTAGGTACATAGCCTAATTTGGGTCAGGTATCTTAAATCAAGTTCAAAACTCTTCTAATAATTACACTTCAAATTGTTAGCAATAGTCAAGTTAATTCTATTTTGATAATTAAACCTTTTTTCATCAAAATAAATTCAAATGTCATTTCACTCGGAAAATCAAATAAATTTTCAGTAGACCTTAGACAGTTCCCTTAAAATCAATTCACCAATAGATAAATACTAAAGTCTCAAATTTCTACATGTATTTACAATCTCTCCTTAGATACATAAACGATCAAAATTACTTTCAGTTACTTAGCACGCACAAACAAAGGAAAACCTAATACTATGACTCTTACTGGACAATAGTTAATCGCAAACTTTTTAGCTTTTTGTCCGAGGTAAAACAAAGATAAAAAACTTTTTGGTGGAGACTCACTCACTGCCAATGTTCTTGATTCTTAAAATCTTACTATCAAATCAACTGCTGGATGTTATCTTTCTTTTTTTCTGATTGTAACCTGCTTAAATATTACTCAATTCTCACCAAAAATCTGTTACGTGGGCGGTCATTTAGCATTTCTCGAACCAATCCTCTTATTTGACCTCGTTTATCGAGTGATAAACGACATTGTTGTTTTCCAAGAATTGTTTTTTTTTTTAAGTTTTTACTTAGGGCGGGTATTACAAAAGTGCTTTGACAGTTAACTTGTAGTTAACTTTTTGAATTACATGTAATTTCAGAAGTTTACTTTAAGTTAACTCTCAGAGTAGTTTTATACTACCCGCCCTTAGGATATGATGCAACATCCGGCGGAAACACCGGTGTTGTAGTTTATCAGTTATGACGCAATTAAATCACATGAGTATAGTGATTTCCGGTTAAACGCGTCCTAATTTTATAATTTTTTATTGACTTTTTTTTTATCGGAATGTCGCAAGAGTCTATTAATTGGGAACATCGAACTCTGACATCCGGTCGCTTATCGCTTGTGTTGGTAAAAAATTGTTATGTAATTTGAGTTGAGCTTAGAAATTTCGTAATTTTTTATCTATAATATTTTTATATGGGATTAGATGCTGGATTGTTAGGAGATTTAATAAGTTGAGATTAAATTATCTTGCAACTGACGTAGGTACTTTTCTAATTAAAATATCTACAACATTTGTACAAATTATAGTATCCTGCTGGAGATGACCACCAATTGTCCTGGTGGGCCCACAGAGATCGAACTATTATGAAATTTTCTGGACAAAACGAGAAAAGTCAAGGGCGTTAGTATGATACTAAAATTTTAAAATTTTCAAATGAAAAATAAACCTATCGGAAATTAATGAAAATCAACTAAATTAGTCATAAATGCACCATTAAAAAAACTATCCAAAGGAAAATTATGAAATTTTCTGAACAAAACGAGAAGAGTCAGGGGCGTATCATACTAAAATTTCAAATTTTTCCAGTGAAAAATAACCCCATTGGAAATTAATGAAAATCAATTAAATTAGGCATAAATGCATCATCTAACATTTTATTTTTTTTTCTGGAAAACTATCCGAAGGAAAATTATGGAATTTTCTGGACAAAACAAGAAAAGTCAGAGGCGTGTCATACTAAAATTTCAAATTTTTCCAGTAAAAAATAACCCCGCATTGGAAATTAATGAAAATCAATTAAATTAGGCATAAATGCATCATCTAACATTTTTTTTTTTTTTTGGAAAACTATTTAGAGGAAAATTATGAAATTTTCTGGAAAAAAAAAAGAAAAATCAAGGGCGTATCATACTGAAATTTCAAATTTTTCCAGTGAAAAATAACCCCATTGAAAATTAATGAAAATCAACTAAATTAGATATAATTGCACCATCTAACATTTTATTATTCTTCTGGAAAACTATTCAGGGGATAATTATGTCATTTTCTGGAAAAAAAGAGGAAAGTCAGAGGCGTATCATGGTAAAATTTCAAATTTTTCCAATGA